TCGCATTATCGGTGGTCAGGGGCGTAGCCAGAAAAAAATTTCGGGGGGGGCCCCCAAAAAATTTTGCGAAAAACTCAAAACATTAGCGAAAAAACAGCGCCGCAGGCAAAATTTTTTGAAATAAAGGTTACATAGCTCTACAAATAGCCGTAAAAAAGGGAAAAAATAGCGCCGCAGGCAGCAAAATTTTTGAGAAAATAAAAATCATAAGGGTCCCCCCTTATGAAATTTTCGGGCCCGGCCGATTTCGGGGGCGGGCCCCGGGGCCGGTATTACGCTACGTCCCTGTCGGTGGTGGAGCCAACCTTTTTCTTCTAAGAAACTAATGTTTTAAATAGAAATGGAGAACAGTTTTACTATTCTTGAGATAAAAAACTGCCAAATTCTCGTCATTAATGCAAAAAATATCGATTTTTCGTCCAAAAAGGCCGAGGGATTCGAGAAATGTCATCAATACCCACCGGGTGCATCTTCTTCGTCAACGGCGAGATGGGCAAGAACCCGCATGCCCCCACGTGGCCGTCGATGTTGACAAGGTTCGAGGTGCCCTCGGTGCTGCCGTAAACTTCACCGATGCGCACGCCGAATCTAAAATCCACTTGACTACAAACCGCAACCCCGTTCTCACCGATCAACAAATTTTTGCCAGATCTCCGCCCTCAGCCCGTTGCCGTACATCAGCCGCATGCGGTGGTTGTCCTCCTCGGCGCACTTTGGCTGCGCCAACAGATATCGGCAAATCTCGCCGATGTATTGCGAGGCCTATAGTATTCAGAATATGATGCTAGGTGTAATTTTAAGCCCACCGTACACTCGTACGTCTGGCAGTCCATCCAGAAGTTGCTGGCCGAGAACTTTTTGCGGATGACGCAGCTCGAGCCGCGGACCAGGCATTGTCCAACGCCGAGGATACCTTGAAAAGTTATTTTTAAAGGCGGATGGAAAGGTAGGCCTGGGATTAGGCGTAGGCTTACAATTAGGCTTAGATTTAGCTCAGGCTTTGGCTTCGACCTACCCTTCTTAGGCTTGGACTTGACTTACCAGCAGCTGTATGATAAATTGGCAGCGACACGTAGATTCGGTCGGACGGCCGGACACCAAAAGCCAAAGCAGCTCCGCTTACCATCGAGTAGTACCTTAAAAGTCGATTGTATTTTCATTCCGGTCTCTCTCTGTCTCTCTCTCTCTCTCTCCATCTCTGTCTCTCTCTCTCCCTCTCTCTCTCCCTCTGAGAAACTTACCGGAAGTGCTTCATAACAGCAGCCTTCGGAAGACCAGTAGTACCAGAGGTGTAGATGAAGCAGAGGACACCTAATTTTTGAATACTCGAAATCATGGCCTAAACCCACTCTTAAAGTCGATCTTATCGATGGCGGCGGGTCGTCGTGTCGATTGGAGATCGAGCTGGGCGGCGAGGTCTAACGATTTGGCATCCTTGGGTCGGCCGATGACCCACAGCTGCTCGGGGCTCATCTGGAGATGGCCGGCAGAGATCGAGTCGAGGAGGGCTGGAATAGAGGGAGGTTGGAAGACAGAGTCAGAGTGAGAGAAAGGAGAGAGAGAGAGAGAGAGAGGCAGAGAGAGTTAGCGAGAGAGATCGACGCAGCTCTCTCGAGCATTGAACGGCTTCACGTCGCCGTTAGGCGACTTTGGTAGAGAGAAAGTGTGTGTAGGTGCGAGAGAGATATAGAGAGAGAGAGCTTGTTAAAGACAGAGTAAGAGAAAGGGTGAGAGTGAAACCGTACCGAATTGCAACGAAGCGCTTGTGATGGCCGCGCGGGCCTTGGAGGTATGGACACAATGGGCCAGCGGCTCTTGTCGAAGATTACTGTTAATCCATGCGGTGACGACGCCAACCTAAATGACAACATTTAACCCTCCGACGACTTCGCTAAGTTCAGGCCACGTTCCGTTCCTTGCACTGTTAGTACAAAAATCTCCACACCTTCGCGGCCCCGAGCCATGCCGCCACGAAATCCGTCGAATTCTCCATGTGAATCGCGACCACATCTCCGGCTCGGAGCCCACGGGCCTAAATCCGATTCTAAACAACAGCGGGAGCTACCGTACCTGATAGAAATTCGCGAATCGATTGACGCGCACGTCGAATTGCCGGAAGGAATATGTCCGCCCGGTTTCAATGTCGATAAACGCGGTCTTGTCGCCGTAGCGGCCGACGATTTCGCCCCAGATTTCGCCTGGAATCGAAGTTTTAAGAAATCCTTTCGTCTATCTTGTGAAGAATTTTTCGCTGAATCCGATTCTGTCTGCAGACTTTGCAAAATAACAATAGTTAAAAAGTTATACAGGATTTTTATGCCCCAAAGCGTCGGGCTAGCCATTTTTTGCATAAAATGTCTTAAAAAAACTTTGAAAAAAGCCATTTTCGGTATTTTTGAGAGCAGATTTAGAATCAGCGTAAAATTCTACACCGGATTGTAAAATTCGTTTGCTTCGAAAACCTAAAAAACGCTCAAAAACTTTCAGAAACTCATAAACTCAAAAACGCGAGGTTTGCCAAATTTTAAAACCGTTACCTATACTTTTATTATCCTTCATCCGGCGCCACAGGTCGAATTTCACTTGGAGAATTAGGTAGAGACCACTAGAAGTGGGGAAAATTAGGGAAATTTGATGTTCCGTTACCTTAAATCTCGACCCAACGTCTGGTAGGATCGATGCCAGAAGTCACCGTAGAAATATGTGATGTAGACGAAGGAGACGAGAAAGAGAGGGATGGAGAAGATGGAGGGGACTGCTGGAGACTGTAGAAGACCGACGACGACCAGGAATGCCGTCAAGCAATGCTGCCATGACATTCTAAAAAAGGTGGACGATAAGCGGTACTGGCCTGTTAACAGAGGGGGTTTTCAGCAGGGGGAAAACTGATTTTCCCCGTACTCCTGTACGGACCAATAACTGAATATGAAATTTTTTTTAGCCTTTTACACAGTTTTTAGATCTAAAAAAATCCTTCTAAACTGTTTTACTATTTCGAAACGCCAATCTTTTACCAATTTTTGTCGATTGGCCACAAAAATGGCCGATTTTCCACCAAAATCACGAATTTAAAACTTTAAACAATTTTTGGAAGCCTTTTCACCTAAATATAGTTAAATTTTACTTAGGAAACTATTAAGTAACTTACTATTATGTTACTAAGCATTTCTAAACCTATAAAAAATCCGGTCTCGATCAGATATCCCCCCGATAATGCGTAAGTACCCATCAGCCAACCGAAATTTCTGGAACGGTACCTCAAAATTCCAAGCATCAACCGATCAAAATAACAGCCCCACCGGAAAGTTCAGGCTTCAGGAAAATTCAAGTTTCCTCAGGATTCCATGCTGCGCCCCCCCACCCCTGCCCAGGGGTAGCTAATCCTAGCCACTGTTCCACACCTTCCCCATGACGCCCCCAAAAGATATTTGGTTATTAGGTCGAGTTGGTGACTAGAGAGCCAGAGAGAGAGAGAGAGAGAGAGAGAGAGAGAGAGAAGGAGAGAGAGAGAGAGAGAGAGCGAGAGAGCGATAGAGAGACAGAACAATGAAACTGGTTCCCCGTATGCAAATCTCGGGATACAGCCAGGCGGCTCTCACAAATGCGATAGCCAGGAGGGGGCGAACACATCCAAACAGTGACAGAAGCCCGCACGCACCCGGTTTTCGGCCCTTACAATGGGCACCTTTTAGAATGGAAGGGCGGATCTCGAATGGGGGGATGGAGGGCATCACGGGGACGAGGAGGGCGAACATCAAACCAATTCTATTGAATTGAAGGAGAGCGATCGAACAGTCGAGGAATAGTTCTGAAGCCAAGAAAAGATGCGGAATTTGTAGCCTATCGTATTTTTGAATAACCTGATCAGGGAAAACCATACAATTTGGTCGCTCTGGACCTTCCGTGGGGTTTCGTGCTCATTGCCAGCGAAAAGGCCAAAATCCCGACAGCAAAAATTCCAACAGCTAGAATTACGACAGAAATAATCCCGACAGCCATATGCCCCATAGAATAATGCCGACGTCCAAAATCCCGACAGCCAGAATCGCGCCAGGAATAATACCGAAAACTCAAACAGCGTCAGCAACAATTCCGACAGCTAGAATACCGACAACGAAAATCCCGACGCCATGCTCCCCAAAGCCAGAATCCCGACAGCAATCCGGATAACAATATCCTGACAGCGATAATCCCGGCAGCCAAAAACCCGATAGCAAAACCACCGACAGAATACCACGTTACGATTGCGTGTTTTTTTTTGAGGTTTCCGCTAGATTACGACCAGAAACTCACCTCAACAATGCTTCTGGCTTCTGGTGCTCATCGTCGCGTGCATCCGAGCGGGCCGAGACGGCCCTCGTCGACGCCATCCCGCACAGTAAGCACTGAAAATGTGGTCGTTTGGGTGTAGTGGAATATCAAGCGCCAGAACAAAACTGAACTGAGGAACGGGCGGCATGCAAGGGTTAGTGATAGAACTTAGGGTGTGGAGGGACTTAGGCTTAGGCTTAGCTTAGGCTCAATTTAGGCTTAGCTTAGCTTAGCTTAGGCCTAAGGCTTAGGCTTGGCTTAGGCTTAGGCTTAGCTTACGCTTAACTTAGGCTTAGCTTAGGCTTAGCTTAGGCTTAGCTTAGGCTTAGCTTAGGCTTAGCTTAGGCTTAGCTTAAGCTTAGCTTGGCTTAGCTTCGGATTAGCTTAGGCTTACCTCAGGCTTAGCTAGGCTTGGGTTACTAGGTTAGCCGATACAACCATGCTTTTAGACGTGCGAGTGGCGAGGCTTACGTCTCCTGGCAGGCTAGATAGCAAACCCCTTTTTGGAATTTTGGAAACCACAATATTTACTGGTGAATGATTGAGTCTGGTGCGAGTGAAAAGGAAGTGAGCAACCTTAAAAACAAAAAAAGACAGTCAAAAAGTGCTTTCAAAAGTTGCTCACGGCAGCCTGGGCGAAAAAGCCGGAGCCGGCGGATCGGCCGGCGCCCTCCTCCACCACGGAGATCATATGAGAGGGGGGAGGGAACGGATCTGAAAGGGTGAAAAACGCTTAATAATCATCGCCATTGGTCAGCTGGCAAAAATAGCACGCAAAAATGGTTATTTGCAATTGTAAACACCAACGAAAATGACAAAAAAGAAGGAATATATGAAATTATCGTAGATCTGAGCTTGGAAAATTCACAGCACGCCAAAAAAAGTCAAACTTTCGGCGGAAAAGTGATGAGAAACGCTTTAATTAATGAATTAAAATTGGAGAAAAAAACAGCAAGGCGCAGAACGTCGCCGCATTACATTGCGTAACCCATTAGCTGATCTAAAGTTCCGAAGTTTACCCTACAGTCTAGCTTATTTAAACGTGAAAATTTGGTTAAATTTCATGACGTAATCGACGGGTGAATTTCCTAGCGTAATCGATTCAATTTCGCAGCTATCGAACAGCTGGGCACTTTCAAGGCCACCCCCTCGCTTCCTGGGTAGAGAAAAATTGAGGGTCAAGGATGGGAAAAATTCGCATGTAATTTGGAGCGGCATGTAGCTTAACCCTAAGCTTAAGCCAAAGCCGACGCATAAGATCAAGCCAAAGCCTAAGCGTAAACCTAAGCCTAACCTAACTTAAGCCTAAGCCTATCCTAAGCCTAAGCCTATCCTAAGCCTAAGCCTATCCTAAGCCTGGGCCCAAGCTCAAGCCTAAGCCCAAGACCAAGTCAAAACCTATAAGCCAAATGCCCCAAATATTCCAGAATTAGCATATTCAGCTCTTCAGAAGCCCCAGGATCGATCGATGATGCTCAGCGGCGGGGGGTGGAACTAGGGGAGAAGGAGGGAGGGGAAAGTGAAACGAGTCGCTCAGGCTCGCACAACTCTTAGCCAACCCCCTTCGGGCTGGAAGTGAGGCGAATCTCTTGGCACACTACGGGATAATCCTCTGCACGACCTCCGCGATACTTGGGCGAAAGGAGTGAAATGGACTGACGGGGGACAGACAAACAGACAAAACGACAGGAAGAAACATGGACAATGGGGGTGAGTCAGGCAGAAAGTCGTCATTAGGAGTGCGTCATTAGGAAAGTCGCGTAGTTCAAGGGGTCCCAGAATCCATTGTCACTGCCACTTTAAAGGGATCGGCAAGGCAGGAATCCATCGAAAAAGAGTTGCCGAAAAGCGAGCAGCGATTCTTTGAGAACAGAAATGACAGGGGAAAAAGCAAGCTAGCGGAGATTCTTTGGGATTTGGAATAGCTAAATCAAGGGCAAGCCAGCGGAAACCTCTTAGGATCCCAGATCGTCAGATTCAGGGCAACTTAGCATGCTGTATTTGGGATTTTGAGTGCCAAAAATAGGGGAAAACGAGCAAAGGTTCTTTGGGATTTGAAAGGGCTAAGCTGGGCAAGCTAGCCGAGATCCTTTGGAATTGGAGACAGGCAAGCTAGAGGCAAACTAGCAAAGATTTTAAGCGCTTTGAGTCAAACTAGGGCCAAACTAGCAGAGATTCTTACGGAATTTAAAAAACCAAGTTGCGGCAAGCTAGCAGCGATTCTTTGGGATTTGGAAGGGATTAAGTCAAGGGTAAGATTCTTTTGGATTTAAAGAGCCAAGCTAAGGCAAACGAGGTTATCGCATAACTCCTCGATTCCCGAAAGACGCGTTCAAATCAGGGCTAGCAGAGACCCTTTAGAATCGGGAAAGTCCACGGCAAGGGCAAGCTAGCATAGACCATTTGAGAAGTTTTTAAGATTGTGTAACAGTACACGCAAACCGAGAAAACGACCCCCGGCCCCGGGGGCGGCAATCGAAATCGATGACCGGTTTCCTGTCTTCACAACCGCCCCAGGGGGGCAATCCGGTGAAAACGGGTGGGGGTGGATCGAAAAAGCCGGCCTTTTGGAGTCCGACTCGGTCAGTTGGAGCTCGAAAAAATTTTGTTAGTAACCACTAAAATCTAGAAAATAAGAGAAATTAACTAAAATCCCAATCGGAAGCGCCACTCTATTTTTTTGAGGTGTATGCGGATGCGGGGGGTATGAGATTGGCATGAGCTCTCAGAGCCCGGCCGCGCACACACACTGGAGAACCAGTCTTTTAGCCGGGGAGGGAGGGAGTCTATGGCTAGAGAATCCCCCGCGGCATATCTCTGTCTCTGTCTCTGCCTCTCTCTCTCTCTCTCTCTCTCTCTCTCTTCCCATATGCCCTTCGGACTGTACGGAGAAGCCGAGCGCGCCACCGACACCCCCCGGGGGCAGCCATCAGCCTCCTCGTCCTCCTCCACCTCTTGCTCCACCTCTTGCTCCACCCCGAGGCGGGCATCGATAAAATGATTGAGGGGCTGCGGGACGGCAACTCGCCCTCCGGCCCGGAATCCGGAATCGCGCGGAATTGGCAGGGAGCTGGACGCTGGAATGTCGGGAAAAGGGAGGAATCGGCAAAATCCCAAAATACCGACATTCGGAATCTCGACAGGCCAAAATGCCGACAGCCAACTTCTGGGTCTATTTATGTTCACGGATAGCCGGACGTCGATATTGTAGATGCTCGCTTTTGCCTGAATGGTCTCTGCTAGCCTGC